GTCCTTGAAGGCATCGCCGACATATCTCCACTTGAATTCCTCAGCTTCGGGGACAGCGACCTGGCCGATCTGCTTGCCCTTGATTTGGCTTTGATACTTGAGACGAAAAACGACGAAGGCGCGCTCCTCTTCTGATAGGAAGGAGGCTGTCTCTGGAAAGTCATGCAGCGCAAAGAATGCCCACACGGCGACGAGAACAGTGACGATGCCCTCGAGAATGAAGATCCAACGCCATCCTTCAAGACCACCAACACCGTTCATCTTTGAGATACCGAAGGCCAAGAGGCCGCTGAACGCGCCTGCAATAGAAGCTGCGGAGAAGAACAGCGCCTGACGGAACTGGATCTCGTGGCGACAGTACCACATTGTGAGATAGTACTACATGTATCAGTTCGCGTAATGCCCCATGCAGCCGTCGGTCGAACTTACTGCTACGCCAGGGAACAAGCCAGCCTCGGTTACTCCCAGGAAGATACGAGCAATGAGAAGCCCGTGGTAGCTTTGCACGATGCCCATGAGGGTCATCACAATACCCCATGCGACCATGATGGTGGGGAGCCAAACGCTGGGCCTGAGCTTCTTCAGTAACAGGTTGCTTGGGACCTCGAAGGCGGCATAAGTGAAAAAGAAGACAGTGAGACACCAGTTGTACTGGTCATCTGACATGTGTAGGTCTTCCTGAAGGCCTTCGATCTTGGCATTGCCGATGTTGCCACCTAGACACAAGATCAGCTATACGAAGCTGCCAGAGACGGCAAGGAGAAGAGGAATCTCACGGTCCAAAAATGAAAGCAGGTACAGAAGCGCCAGCATGGGAATAAGACGAACGTCCATCTGATACAGGGTCAGGCCGGAATTTTTGTCCTTCGTCATAAGGAAGAGCATACCTTTCTGAGGACTTTCTTCTCGTCTAGATGCGCAAAAGACTCGAGTGTCGTGCCGGGGGCGGTCGCGATGCCGTCGATGCGGTCTTTTTCGCTAAGCCCATGGCCATCTTCTGTCTCGGACACGTCCGGCTTCTCGGTATGGTCATTGGAGGCCCTCGTGATGCTCATGTTGGGCGAATGGGACAATATTCAATTTCGGAGCCGCTGAAAGAATAGAGAAGCCGTAGCGGATAGTCCATGGCAAGAAGCGCACACACGTACCGCAGTTGGGCATCTCTCCCTTTAAGCACGCCGTCGGTGTTGCTTTCCACTACGACGGCGGTCAACCTGTTGGTCAAGTGCACCACCCGTCGCGACGAGGATCGGCAGCCAGCATCATCAGCGGCTTCTAAAAGCCCCGCCGAGCCCACATCCGGCATGCCTAGGCCGCCAATGAAGTATGTCTGGGCTGCCAGTCTGGGGCCCCGGATTGCGGGCTTAGAGGACCTAGTAGACGTTCCCCCGCACGCTGCCGCCTGTGTTGGTCAACGATCGGAGGGAAAGCCGCTGCAAGACGGCGGAAAGAGGCCGCCTGGGCGCTGTCGCTCAACGCGAACTCCCGTGGGAACGAATCATGGCGAGCCCTCAATGTACACCTACACTGCATATGCTGAATCGTGGTGTGGTGGATGGCAGCCGCCAAGTGATGTCATGGGGTTGCCGGCGAAGGTATTCGTACCAGCCGCAGAACAGCTCTATGGAGTCGGATACAGAGAATCTAGAGGCGCTAAAGACTAAAGGTGCCTTCAGTAGTAGCCTTAGCGAGCGAGTGAGGCAGCGCCTCATGCCGTCATAAACGCCTTGCCGTCATCGTTGCCGCTTGGTCACTCGCACTACACTGGGGGCATTCCTCATCGACCCATGGTACCCATCGATCTTTGAGGGCGCATCCAGAAGCATGCGTCAAACCTGCATTAGACTGCTACTATTTGCCAAAGCACGTGTGCCATCGCTTGATTGAATCTTTACGAAACCGCAAGAAACTTTCCTCGCAATCACGTCGAAGCCGCCCTGCTTATAGTAAGCGCCGCCTCGAGCTATATACCCACCAATCGATTAATGGGAGCTCACCTGTAGCAGGAGTCTGAGGAGGGTCACTATTCGAACTTTCAAGCAGTTTGAGTCAAGATGTCTGATTGAAAGCCTAACAGCCGAATCCCTTTTCGTATAAGGAGGGAATTACGAAACGTGTTTGTTTGGCAGAAACGTAAATACGGAATGCATGGAGCTATACGTCCATCCATGTAGTCGTCCGCGGGAGTTCACCATCGCAAAACAAGTCATAACCTTGAGACCCGCACTCGCGTCAGATCTGCTGCCTCGCCGAAAAGGAAGTCAAGCTTTCGTGATAACCTCAGATGGCCTGCATTAACCACATGCAAACATAAATAAAGTCGTTTTACAATGTTGAGTTTTCAGCGCTCTCGATTATCGAGCACTATGCCTAGGTCAGGGGAAGACAGATCGGAGAAAACGCTGCCTCTGTTGAGCCAATATAGGGGGATTGCCTGGGGCGGTGATCATCGTATGGGATTCGCCGCTCTCGTGATTACGAGGCTTCATGGCTACGTGATCGCAGGAGCAGCGAATCTCGGATCTACTGATCGACGAGATCACATAGACAGTGTCAACAACAATTGCAAGTCTTGCACCACCAACCCTACGATTCAGAGCTCTCAGGCACAGTCAAAGTCTTGAATAAGGGTTCAGATGAGCAGTGAAGCCCTCTCAACAGCCCCACTCCTACTATTAGGGAGCCCAGAACTCTGATGCGAGGGTAGTGTTCAAGCTCATGCCACACAGAGGCAAACACTCGACTGGAAAGCGGTCTTTAACAAATTTGTGAAATTCGAGAACCATTACACTACGCCTGAACCTGGTGACATTCAGCAGAACAGCGTGTTTGGAGACGTGGCTCTTGAGAACACGCAAAAGTCAGAGCCTAGGCGCTACGCGGCGAATCGAGTGTATTGTATTCAGAAAACTCAAATAGTATAGTCTTCCTTGTACGCCATCCGCCATTGGCTCGAATCACGCTGGGCTCTGAGCCTCACGTGGCACGGCGCGACTCCATTCGGCTAAATACTAGTAAGCTCGAAACCGCTCTCTCTCCTCTCCCCAAGCGCCGGATGCACTCAGACCTGGAAGAAGGGCGCGCCGACGACCTTGGCAACCTCCTCGGCGACGAGCTTCTGGATGGCCACGCCGGGGTGGTAGTCGTTGAACCATAGGCAGCTGGTGCCGTCCTCGTTCCAGCAGGTAGCGTCGGGGGCGCCGTAGGCAGTCGGGTTGGCGAGCGCCTTGTCGAAGGGCAGCGCCGTGTCGACGAGCCAGGTCTTGGCGTCGGGGTTGGCGGCCTTGAAGGCAGCGAGGTGCTCCTGGATCAGATCGTTGTACAGGTCGATGGCGGTGGCGACGGCACCCGTGTTTGTCTGGCCCTGCGAGAGGAAAGCAGGGGTTCTCCAGGTGGCTGTCGTCTGTTAGTCGAGGGCTGTTCCAATCTTCATATATGAGGGGGTGAACGCACGGGGGACGCTGAGGATGGCAAATTGCCTCGCGCCGGCGTCGTAGACGGTCTGCAGGAGACCAAAGTAGCGAACCATGATGGTCTCGTACCGCTGTTGAATGTCGGAGAACCAGAAGGTGTTACCGACATCATTGACGCCGATCCAAACACCGACAAGCGTGTTGTCGGCCTCCCAAGGTGCCCAGGAGGGGTGAGGCTCAGCGGCGAGGTTGGGGACGAACAGATCCTGGACCTGGTCCTCGAAGCTCAGCACCTCGGGCGCGTAAGGCGTAACCAGGTCTGCTGCCGTCGTGGCGCCGCCGTAGGCCAGGTTGTACGATAGCAGCACATCCTTGTTGTACTCGGTCGCCGCAAAGGCGATCCAACCCAAGCCGCCGCTGGCCGTCCAGCCTGGCAGAGGCGGGTTGCCAAGGGGGTTCTCGGCCGTCGGCTTCGTACCGGAGAAGCTGAAGCCGCTCTGCGAGTAGGAATCACCGCTACGACGAGGTCAGCCACGAGTAGATTCAAGCCGCACCCGTGGCCTCTTTTGTCATTCTTCCTTGACTTACAAAGTGATGAAGTATTTTGGTCCCGTGGGGTTGGTGGGCACCGAGGAGGTCGCGACCGGAGGGTGCGAGGAGCAGGGCGAGCCGCCGGCGATGCGGGCAGCGCCGACCGCCGAGGCGAGGCCTGCCATGAGGAGAGTTGACGTGCCCTTCATTGTCGGAAGTGATGCTCAGTGTTCCTTCACGCTGACGACGATAGTTGTGGCTGGTTGGCGGGACGTGGACATCGTGACTGGCTATATACTTCTCGGGAGGAGAACATGGTCGTCACACTCCGCGGCATCGCGTTCCGGCAACGGATACGGCCAAGCCGACATATATTACCCATCCCATGACGATCGTCATTGGAGGAGGTGTGCTAAACGACCTGGCGACTGTTGTGATGTGAGCGGGAATCCATCGATGTTCCTGCATGGCAAATTGAGGGACCCTCTGCGGGGGTGCGGAGGGGCGCCATCCCGTGCCCAGAAAGGGGAAGGCCGGCCCGTGTTCAGACCCTGTAGCGGCCAACTCTACTACCGGCTGAACGGATCAGGCGCGGGGTGGGAGCAAGAATTGAACCAGATGGACGACGGAGCTGGTTCCGAATCAATGCAACGGTTCCTGGACCTGTAGGTTCTACCTGCTCTGATCATATGTGGTGGCCCGGTGCAGGCGAGCGATGTCGCGATCCGTCAGGGTGGACAATGTCAGGGACGATGTCAGGGACGATGTCAGGGACAATGTCAGGGTTGACGATGCCACGAATGACCTTGTTTCAGTCTGAGTGTCTCCTCGCCCCGAAAATGCCTTTTTTTCTCCGCCTTGCCCGTCCACCCCCTTGTCTGCCGAGTGTAATGGAGCTGCGAATCAGATTGGCGAGTGGAGAGAAGCAGCTGTCAATGAGAAGCCAAGATGCTCAATTCATCGTCTTTAAACTGGCAGGCACATTACATCCACCCACTTGGATCCGCATATTCCGGGCTCGTCAAAACGGAAAAACGTTGGCCACTGTCAGCCCTTTCAACCGTCGAGGATTGCGTCCATGTCCCGTCGCAAATCCGCCAGCTGCTTGCCCAGGCTATCCTCACGACTCTTGATAGCCTGAAAAGAAACGTCTACCACGCCAGAGAACATGGACCCATCCGAACTCCTACCGCCTGATGACCCACCAGGTCCCAGGCTGGCGGCCGCATTCCGTAGCTGCGACAGAAACTCTTCGGCCAGCTGAATGGTCAACGACATCTGCAGCGACGGTGTCGAGTCGACAGCGAATGAACCAACCGTCACGTCGGGCAGCTTCCAGTACCGCAGACCGTCCCCAGCTTCAAGCTGCGACAGATTCCCGTGAATACAGCTGAAGACCTTTTGGTACATGTCCAGCAGCCGAACATAAGTCGAGAGAATGAACATTGACGAGCCAGGATCGGCCTTGCTATTGAGGGACTTGCCGCGGCTGGTCTTGGTGTCAGGGGCTTTAGCTGGGCCATCTGAGGGCGTGATGTCCTGCACGGCCTCAGCGAACTGCTGAGACAGCTTGAACATCTCATCTACGGGGAACGGGACGGTGCGGTGCCTTCCAGAACCGTTGCCATGATGCTGCGAGTTTTTGCCATGGTGCGATTTGCCGTCCGCACACTCAATCTGGTACGGCAATGCAGATGAGAGCTCAAAGAGCCTCGAGTTGATGTCCGATAGCCGAGGCATCCAGTGACCTGCCGAAGAGGAAGTGGTTTTGCCGGCCGGTGATGACTTGAGGACGATCTGACGAGTTTTGAACTTGCCGCGAGGCTTGGACACCCGCGGTGAAGGGCGGTCACTAGAATGTCGCTGGCTCAACGTGACCTGCTGTTGTTGGTTGTGGTGTTGCTTCTTGCTGGTAGCAGAGGCTGCCGTCGTCGGTGTGAAGGCAAGCTGGCCGCCCTCGGTTTCGGTAGGCGCGCGTGGTGGGACAGAAGGTAGAGGGGGGGGAGTATGAGATACCAGTGTGCTGGCATGCAGGTGCTGTGGGAGCCACGTATCGGTGATGTTGTCCCTGGATATAAGATGTTGGGAGAGGCCAGGGTGGAGTTGTGAAGGGTGGTGATCGACGACGACGGTATGCGACGGGTAGAGGGCTGCCGCCGGGTCAAAGCCGCCGCCGCCAAAGGCATAGTCGGCGATGTTCATCATCTGGTCGTGTGTGACGGTGCCGCCCGATGGATGCGATTCGAATTCACCGCTCATCGGGGGACCGACTGAGGCTTCGGCGAAACCGTCAGAATTGGTTGTCGTTTTAGACAAAATGAAAGACATTGGCAGACTCACCAAAGTCAGGTGGCACAGGAAGGTTCTCGCTTTCCGTCCGCTTCCGCTTGGGTGATCGGCCTCCCTCGAGCAGCAGCGCTGTGTTCGAGCCAGAAGTGCCTGTCGTCTCCTCCAGCACGAGGGACTCGACGGCCGTCTGTTGCTTTCGGTATCGCAGCGAAGGGCTCGATTTGCATTCGGTTCGGAGCCGGAGGCAGCGCTCGCAGGCTTCATCGCCGTAGCGCTTACAGCTGAGCTTCTGGGCGTGGCAGCGATCGCAGGCTTTGCGGTTGGGACAGTCGATCATGGCTATGGTCATGGCCATGGCGTGTGGGCGACATTCGGTCGTGAGTGTGGTGGGGGATGGAGGGTGTAGTCCCCTTCCAGATGGGCCAATATGGAGTAAAATAGCAGCCTGGCTCCAGCCCCTGGGCCATGTGTCTCCTGTTGTTCCTGGAGAAACTGAGACTACCCCGGGTGGGTGCCGTTGAACCCAGCATGTGCCCTGATGGAACATGACCGAGGGTCGAATCCACGCTGTCGCGCCCGGCCCATGAGTTGGCCAGCCCTCGCCCAAGTCGTACTCCGTGTTGGTGGACTCGACTGGCCGAGTGCGGCGCAGCCATGGAAGGAGGAAAGACCCAAGGGTGGGGTGGTAATAGGTCGACCTTGTACGACATGGTACAGCATGGCGAATTGCCTTTGGGTTCCCGTACTTCGTCAGCCGAGCTCGCTCGTCGACTCAAGTCGACGTGGACGAAAGGAGCGGTGCGGCTACCACAACAGTCGATAAAGCAGTTTGCCGTGTGATTGGTGACATCCACAAGATCCAGAGTGCCGGCAACCAGCTCCTCGGGTCACTGGGCACCAGGATTGGGTGACCACTATGACGGGAACACGGGTGTCTTTGCATATATCAGGTTCAGGTCAAATAGTCATATGACAGCTGTCCAAGACAAGTCAAAGTGAATGAGCTCACCATTTCAAACAAGCAATCTTGCACAAATCAGCTAAAGAGGGGTCAGCATTGGGTCATAGAGCGTGTGCGCGTAGTAGCAGAGACGAAGACGGAGAAGAGCAGCCACGGGGATGTGAGGGACCCAGACTGTGCGACTAGGCCAATGTGCGGGCCCGCGCTTCGAGAAAGCATGCATGTGTGTCGCCAAGGATCGATGCTGTACACATACGTGGATCAAGAACGTTCCTGAATGAGCGAACATGAAAGATGCAGGTGGTTGTTGAGAAACGTGATTTGTGAGCTCTCGCAAACAGTGACGTATGGAAAATACTCTTGATTATGTCTTGTTGAAGCGGTCGACATGGCTACCCAGCAGAACGAGGTACCAATAGACGCATGTGCCCTCTCGTACGGCTGTTTGGGTCATTTCGTCCTCTAAAGTCTTCATAGCAAGCTTTGGCAGCGCGGTTGGAATCATGTATCAAATGTAGGGTTGGCTTATGCTCCGCATCGGCTGTGAGGCCCAATCTCGTCGCTTTGGCATATCACGAGCTTCGGCAGGCAATATGCGAGGCCTGGCAGAAGAGATCCCATGGCGGCATGGGCTTCGAAAGACATGTCTTCCCGGTTATTGTGCCACGGAGACGGTTGGGGTTCCGTACGAGATGAAAGTTCGGTGCGGTGTAAGCGAGGGGGCTGTGTGAGCAAGGCTGTCAAGTGTCAAGGCCAAAGGGTGCCGAGGCCACAGACGTCTCGTGGACCGTGGACTGTTTCCGGGCTGGCGGGAGTCGTCTTCGTCCGAACCCAGGTAGCAGGTTCATGGGACCCGAGACGGAGGATACTTTCCGAGAGTCAGTGCGCTGCTGCGCATCCGAATGCAAGGTCTCTCGTTCGACGAGCAGGTTGCCGCTGACCTGTCTCGTGCGTGAAGGGTGCCACGGCGAGTGGTGGGCTGGACCCAGAGACGAGGAACGGGGACGGGGCGTGCAGGGACGAGGGTTGGAGACAGTCCCGGCACAGCGCCTCAGGTTCTGCTATACTCGTTGTCTCTTGGAAGCAGATATCGAACCGTCACGGCGGTCAGGGCGCGATGGAGAAGCGTTGTCTCGGGAAGGCACATGGTGGCGGCGGCCCAGCGGGCGTGCGGTCAATATGCGGCGATGTCTTGGCCGGGCGTAGTTGACGGAGACCACTTGGGCAGCGCTTGGCTATGCTTCTGGGCTCCGTTCATGAGCGTGCTATCCGATCTTGGGGTGTCGAGATGATGTCGGTGTTTTCTAAGGGAATGTATCGAATGGAGGAGAGACATGCCACAGATAGATGTAAGACCCCAGCAGCGTGGAGGCAAGTACAATGGTGTGAAGCAATGGAAGCATCCGGATGGGGTAGGTGCACAGGAGTACCCCCTGCCCAACTTGGTTGAGCGACCCGGAGTTGAGCGACCCGGAGGAGGTGATGCTTAGCGAGAACACGTGACGGTCCATAGTGAAGACAGCTGCCTGTCCCCCCCCCCGTCCCCCGTCGCGGGCTTCATCACCTCGAGACAAGCTTCCTGTCGTACCATGGCGCCGTGCCCGCCATACGCCATACGAGGCGGACTCCGCGCTGCCGCGCATGCCCGATGGATTTCGGTTACAGTCTCCATTGGACCTGATGCCGATTACTGATCCTCACCATGCGAGCTCGCTTGCGACCATCCAGTCCTCATTGTGCGCTCGGCCTGAGTTCATCTCCTTGCTGCAGGATGATCTTGTGAGTCTACCAAGAAAGAAGCAGAAGAGGAACGTCATGTCTTGGACGTATTGCACTCGCGCTTTGCGTTGTCTGAGACTGAGTGGAAGGGGAAGGTCGCATGGGGATCTCAGGATCACGCAGTTGCAGTGGATTACTGCTTTTGTATCACACCAACTTCGCATTGCGAGTGGAGTTGGAAGGTTGGGATGGAGATTCGGGTCTATGTGGTCCTCAGAAGTCACTTGGTCCATCTCATGCTTCTGCACATAAGATGCAGGGAAAAGAAGAGTAAAAGCGGAACGAGACAACTACGTTAGAAATCTCTGACTTTACTGAGAGGACGTGTTCAAGGCCAATTCCTAGTGCAAAAGAGTCATAAATCTACTTTTAAATCCTAGCTTTTGAAAAATGTCAAAAGGGAGATACCACCATACCGTAGCGTGACATCCCGAAAGACTCGATTGATAATGGAACGCTGCTAATGGGGATGAAAACGATGTGGAGTATAGCAGGGGGCGGAGTTAACCGAAGTGCGTTTATAGAGTTATAGGCCCCAGGACTCAGGACTATAGACTCTACGGGTATACGTCGCAACTCCAGCTAGTCATGGAACTATGGCATGAAGACGACATACTCCTCATTGTCGCACGGATATCCCTCGACCACCTTACCGTATCGAGCAGCCGGTCTCCGTCCGAGAAGTGCCTCAACAGCGATCAACTCGCATTCAAGTCACAGTTTTCTCCTGCAGGACAGGGCGGTTCTTATACAGTGCGATCACTCAGAGTGCGGTCATTCAGAGTACGGTCATTCACAAGCGCAAAGGAGTATGCGAGGGCCATCACGTCAAAATCAGCCAGGCGGGACAAACAGGAATTGGTCAAGCTTCATGTATTTCCCCATGTCGGCAGCTCGCAGACACAAACACCTGGTCCGCGGCTCATGACACGCAGACAGGCCGTCAAGACAGAAGCCCATGAACACGAACAGAACGCAAAGCAAGGGAGGGCAGACATCCTGGCGGGAAACCGACAGCGGAGCACTACGTTGTGTGTTGTGCTCCCCCTTTCGGTCGATTTCCCTGGCGGTGCCGCGCGCACCCAGACAGCACAGCCGTGCGCAGCATCTACTCGTCGTCGTTGATGTCGACGGTCGTCTGCCGCCACTTGCGCGCAGGCACCTTGCGCTTGAAGAGAATGTCGATCTCGCGGTACGAGCGGTCCTTCATCTCGGGGAGGAAGAAGAAGGCGAGGGCGAAGCAGGCGAAGCCCGTGCCGGCCCAGACGTAGCCACACTTGCCGCCAAGGTGAGCACCCTGTAGGGGCGTCTGTTAGCACTTTGTTCGAGGAGGGAAGGAAGAAGAGTAAAATAGGGAGGGGACGTACGGTAGTGCTCAGCATCCAGTTGCCGAGGAAGATGCAGGGAATGTTGACGAGGTAGTAGCAGCCGCGACCGATACCGGTAGTCAGGGGCCGCAGGCGAATGGCCGAGGTCTCGCCAATGATAACCCAGGAGGCCGGGGCGGGACCGAGGGTGAAAAGGACGGAGATGATGAGGCCGAGCGAGGCCTGGGCGAGGGAGGAGGAGGTGCTCCGGCCAAAGGAGGCGGCGATGCCGAGGGCGACGAGGAAGCCCGTGTTGATGAGGGAGCCCCAGACGTAGATGGTGCGACGGCCGAGGTAGGTCGTCAGGATCCAGGAGAGCATGACGAAGATGGTCTGGAGGGCCGAGGTGATGAGGCCGAGGGCGAAGGCCGTCTCGTTGCCGATGCCGGCCTGGCGGAAGAAGAAGACGGCCTGGTTGGCGATGAGGTTGCCCGTCAGGTTCTGAGCGGCGTAGACGCAGCAGACAATGGCGGTGCGGTAGGCGTCGACGCCCTTGAAGAGCTCGAGGTAGCCGGGCTCCTTGTCCGTCTTCTCGAGGTCGATGGTGCGGCGCATCATGGCCACCGTGTCGTGGTAGTTGGTGACGACGGACTTGCGGCCGAGGCGGGAGACGGCGTTGGCGGCCTGCTCGAGGCGGCCCTTGCGGACGAGCCACCAGGGCGACTCGGGGGCGAGGAACATGAGGACGGCGAGGGGCGTCGGGAACATCCACTGCAGGGCGATGGGGATGCGGTAGGAGATGGCGCGGGGCTCCTCGGCGTAGGCGTAGGTGGTGCCGCCGACGATGATGGCGCCGATGGCCCAGAACATCTGAAGCATCTGCGTGCAGGGGGCACGCAGCCGCATGGGCACAATCTCGGAGCAGTAGGCGGGCGAGTTGGCGATGAAGATGCCCCAGGGGATGCCCTCGAGGAGCTGGGACAGCAGCATGATGGGCAGCGAGTTGGCAAAGTAGAAGACGAAGATGAAGCCGTTGAGGAGCATGAGACCGACAATGGTGGCCCAGCGGTAGCCGATGCGGCTAGTGAGAGGGCCGGCGAGGGTGACGCCGATGAGGGCGCCGATGGGACCGGAAGCCTGGAGGGCCGAGGCCCAGGCGCTCCTGATTTCCCAGTTCTCGGTGCCGTCGATGCTGGTGTTGATATAGACGCCGAATTCCTTCTGGAAGGAGGGCAGGGCGATGAAACTGCCCATCAGGAAGACACAGTAGGACTCCATGATCTGAAGAGGGGCCCATGTTAGCGAGGTTCCACGAGATGGACGCGGGAGGGCAAAAACGTACAATGGTGCAGGACATGGTGAAAGCCCACAGACTGGCCATGGGGTAGGCGCGGACAGCCTCGATGACACCCATCTTGTATTCCGCCTCTTCGGCCTCGATGGCGTCGGACTTGTACTTGTCACGGGAGACCTTCTCGTCGTAGTCATTGTGGGCAACACCCGTCTCGATCTCCTGCGGCTTGTCGGCCACAGGCGACTTGGTATCCACGGGATCACTCATGCTGGGCGGTTTGCAGTGGTACCCGACTGAGAAGCAAGTTGACTGCAGTGGGGGGAGAGAGGGAGAGTGAGAGAGGGAGCAGTCGTGGGGATCAAGGAGGGTGCGATGCTCCCAGGGCTCACTATATACAGTAGCAGTGCGTAGAGTACGAGATGGAACGCTGGACGGGGCTAGAGTAGGTCCGGGGGTAGCAGGCCCGGCGACAGGAGGCCCGGGGTCAAGGGCGAAAGCGAGAGATTGGCTTTGGGGGGCATGAGGCGAGCTGGGGGAGAAAGGAAGGGCGGCCATGCTTCGATGATACCCGGGCCAGTCACGGCCAAGCAACGGCGTGGCGCTACGCATCGACCGCTCCACCCCGACCACTCATTACCCCGACTTCCCCGACCTTCTCCAGCCTGTACCACGCGAAGCCCGCCCAGAAGAAGGCAAAGATGCGCGTCGCATGTCCAACCTCGCGGCAGATTGCCCCGAGTCGTCCCAGGCCGGGACGAGCTTGTCGGCACTGCGACCTGGCCCGTCAGCAAGGCACGTCAGTGGCACAGCGGTTGGCGCCTACAGTACGTGCGTCTCCCGCCGTCCCTCTGGATTGGCGCGGCTGAGCACGAGCCCAGCACGACGGATGACCGGCTCCTTCGTGACAGGGCCGTCAAGCATCGGACATGCTTGTCCAGACGGGGGATGCGTTCGGGGCGTCGTCGCAAAAAGGCCATGGCCGAACCAAGGCAAAAGACGAGAGGCTTCGTTGGGGGGACCAACCTGAATTTGTGGTCGTTTGCCGTCGGCAGCCCCCCCCGGGGAGTGATGAAAAGAAAACAAGCCTGCCTCGGCGATTTAGCGAGCGCCGCAACGCCTTTACCGGTCAGAGCCGGCATCAGTGGCGGCAAACAGGGCTGGCCTGGGGTTGAGCCGAGACGTGGTCGAGCTCCTCGCACATGTGGTCATCTTTCGAACGTGAACTCAACACAGAGCAGAGCTGTAGAAATAATTTGGCCGTGTTCCTGCCATCGGAATACACGCTGTGTCCCTGGAAGAACTGTCATGGTCCAATCCCCCATTTGGCGAGGCCACAAGGTTCGTGCATGCATCGGTTCATCGTGCGATGTCCCCTTCCCCCCCCCCCCCCCCCGCCCAACGAAGGTCGGTAGGATCACAAGGCAGGATTCCTTGCCCACTTCCCACTTCGCTGGAGAGTTCGAGCGAGCGGCGGCGAGGGAGCGAGGACGAAAGAGGGGGTGTCCCTTTCGCAGGTAACGTTGTCGCAGACAGGGATGCTGCATTGGAGCGGCTCACCAGAGCGTATCGGCCGCCCCCAGATTTCTCCATCGTGGAGCACCGCTGCACTAAATGCTGACATGTTGATGCACGCTTGGCATCCGACCCAACTGCCCAAGGCCTCGAAGTACCCTGCCTTGCCTGCATACGACGGCCGACAATGCGACGATGCACACGAGAACGGGTCCCTGCTGCTGCATGCCCTTGGTACAGTCTCGTCGCAGCAATGGGACCTTCATTGCAACGCGAGCATGCGAAACTCGCAAACGTGTTGCCTGGCTGATGATTGTCTGGTCCCTTGGGTACCAAGCATGGCGGGCTTTTCTTTTTGGCCAGATAAGCGCGAGAGATCAGATGGGGTCTTCCCCAGGTGGCGTGCGGCCTTGCATTCGAGTCAGCTGTGTTGCTGTGCATTAGCTGCCCAGACACGGCGGGTGAGCCCGCTGTGGAGAAGGGCGTCTCGAACCACGAACGGACGGCTTGTCGTTCGGCATGGTGTTCGCTTGTTTCGAGATATGGCATGAAATCATGGGAATGGATGGACAATTGGCAGCGTATGCGGTTTCTGGTGTTGATGATTCTGAGGAAGGAATCCGAGGAAGCAATCCGAGGAAGCAATCCGAGGAAGCAATCCGAGGAAGGAATCCGAGGATAGGATTACTCGTGTGGAGCAGGCTCTATGCGGAACTACGGCATGTGGCGCCAGCCTCCAAGCCACATGTTCTCGAATCTGCCAAGCCTCACGGAACTTCCAGACAACCTTATCCTGACATTCGTTCTATTACTTGATCCCATTGAACTGGGCAGCGCTGATTCCAGGCTGGTCCTGCTGCTCTCCAGCGCCCGCCAACGTCTCGACAGTTGTAGACGGCGAGGTGTCCCCCAAGAGCGCGTGGGTGAGCAGGGTGAAGAGGTCTTCGGCAGGCGATCTCCGCAGTCAACTATGAGGTTGGGGGTTAGAACACATCGGATTTCTGACCCTCCTTGCATGCGCACCTCGTGGTCCCAAGCCCCTGAGCTAGCCCCCTGCCCCGTGCTTCCGCAGGTGCTTCCCGACTTGGATCTCACTCGGGCACAGGGTTCTTTTCTTCTGCCTCTGTAACAGGACCCTTGTGATGTGTCATCGTTCTTAGTATCAATAAAGCAATCAGCGACGTGTCAGACAAGAATTTGACACACAAGCCTCTCGAAGGAAGTGGGAGATGCTATGCGACACAAAACTGGATCTTGTACTCGAGCAGAAGAGTCTTCCACGTATATTGCCATCTGCTGTGATGAAATTTCTCATTGTAGAATTTGCTTCCACAACAAAGGGTCACAGAGGTTGTCAAGACAGCGCTTAAACCACAGAATATTATACTCTCAGCAGATTGGCATTTGGAGATGGGAAATACGCCGACACCGGAAAAAGAAAACATGAAAATACTGAAGATGGAAAAGGAATGGAAGCATCAATGAATTTACTCTTCATCTATGGATCAAATATCAAAGACCATTCCATGTGTAGGACAACCAAAGTGGCTGACGAGGCCCAGGGCGATAGCAGATTCTCGGCAGACTAGGTAGCTAAAAATGGTGGACCCGAGTCCGAAGAGTGTGCGTCAGAAGCACACCACTGGAATCAGATGGGCCAGGGATATTGATGACTCTGTTTCTAGAAACAAGAAATAATCACCCATATCGAGAAGTATCTGTGGAGAGCACTGGAGCGGCTAGCTCAGGGGGCTGCCCTGTATGCAACAAGGCTGCGACGGCATATGTTTAGGCGACGGCAAAGCTATGAAGATCCAGAGCTCGAATAGTCTTCGCTGCAGGAACCTCAACAGTTGACTGAGGTTTCCACTCCGCTGGCCTACGCTCTGACATTCCACGTCTTGGCACTGCACTTCTATGCTTTACGTACGAACACGCTTTGACAGTGATGCTGTCAGCGTTGTTCTACTTGGGGTGCAACCACAGCAAGTCACTCAGGATACCTCCTTCGGCTCCTGGCCCGCCACGTTCGCTGCTAGACGTAAATGTGGCGGGAATCGAGCATCATGCACCACGCCTCGCGGCGAATTTCTGCCTGGCCACCCCGTTTCAGATGTCGCGACACGTAGAGGATGCTGTCATGTTGCGATGTGTTGGACGTTTATAGTGCCATCTCGATAGACTCCATCAGTCGAAAGGCTAAGCTTTCTTGGCGCTTCGTGCTTGCTGACCCACCAATACAACATTCCACTGAAGTGCCGCTCAGCAACTTCGACATAGCCTTAATTAGTACGTGCTGGACCAGCTCGTCTACAAATATGCCTTGAGGCCACTTCTAGCTGATTGGAGGGTGTCAATGGGTCGGCAACTACGTTCCATGCTACTTCGCTCACACAGACCATTCCCACTTCATCTAGTTACGCATGTGGACAACAGTTCGGCTAAATCTGGTTGTCAATGCAAAGACTCCACACGTTTTCACAGGCATTTTTCAGTGACGAAATTCAAACACAAGGAAACAGATTCATCGGGCGAGAATTGTTATCGTTCGTAATTAAGGGGTTTCGCCCGAGTTATATGTAAGTGACTTCTGGTGTACTATCATACAAGAAGGTAAAAGAAGACCGCCAGGCCGGGGATGAGGGACGTCATAACGGCCCTCAGGTCGTGCTGCAGTCCCCGGGCACCGGCTTCAACGGGGGGCTCGGACACCTCAGGCGCGGGAGGTGCGCTGCTGGGGATCGCGCTGGGCACGCTCGGGACGGAAGGAACTGCGGGGACCGAGGGAACGACGGGGACCGAGGGGACAGCTGGGACAGAGGGAACCGCCGGCACGGAAGGAACCGCGGGGACAGAAGGCGAAGGGATGACGGCAGGCTCCGAGACGTGAGGAACCTCACTGGCGGGCTCAGAAACATGAGGGACCTCGCTGGCGGGGGCAGAGGGGACGACGGGGACGTCGTGAGTGGTTGTGTGGCTCTCGGTCGGCTCCGAGACGGAGGCGTGAGAGGACACAGCAACAGACGTGGTGACGCTCTCAGTGGAGTGAACCGACGTCGAGGTGGGCACAGGCTTGTCGTGGGTAGGCTTGTAGGTCGAGCCGTAGTCACCGGGGATGGTGAGAGTGATGGTGTTCTCGTAATCGTCGCCGCACTTGTCGCACTCAGCCTCGTAGGTCACCAGAGGGACGGCAGGGGTGACCTGGGTGGAGCACTGGCAGTCCTCGTAGTACAGCGTCGTGCAGACCTCAACAGGCACAAGCGAGGTGGGGTTTGCCAGGTCGACGGTGGTGTAGGTGATGGTGGTCACGACAGACGTGATGATCACATCGTAATCGTTGACGGTCGTAGGCACAGCTGACTCCGAGCAGCTCGTCTCCGCGGCGTAGACGTCCTTGGTTGTGGGGACGGCGTAATCGTCAACGGAGGAAGACACGATGGAGCCGTACGGAACAGCAGTCGAAGAAGCAACATCGTCGCAGGATGTCGAATCGGAAGCGGAGCTTGATACGACATCCGAGACGGAGCTGGGGGGAGCGGAGCTGGGAGCAGCAGAGCTAGCAGGGGCAGAGCTAGCAGGGGCAGAGCTAGCAGGGGCAGAGCTGGGAATAGAGCTGGCGGGAGCAGAGCTGGCGGGAGCAGAGCTAGGAGGAGCAGAGCTGGCGGGAGCAGAGCTGGGAGCAGCCGAGCTAGGCGGGACGGAGCTGGGGGCAGCCGAGCTGGGAGGAGCAGAGCTGGGCGGGACAGAGCTGGGCGGGACGGAGCTAGGGGCAGCCGAGCTGGGAGGGGCAGAGCTGGGAGGAGCAGAGCTGGGCGGGACGGAGCTGGGGGCAGCCGAGCTCGGAGGCACGGAGCTGGGAGGAGCAGAGCTGGGAGGCACGGAGCTCGGGGGAACGGAGCTGGGAGGGACCGAGCTAGGAGCGACCGAGCTGGGAGGCACGGAGCTGGGAGGGATCGAGCTCGGGGCGGCGCTCGACGGGAAGAAGACGGGATCCAGAGGAAGGCCGACAATGTCGACGAGCAGAACCGAGTCGAAATTACCGTTACCCGAGTCGCAGAGCACAAAGTCGAGGTGCTGGGAGGACCCGGGCTGGACGGGGAACTCGTAGCTGGAGATGACGCCGGCGCGGGCGTACGACAGACCAAAGGTGGCACCGGTGTTGGGCAGCGCGGACGTGGCCAGAACGGCGGTCTGGGGCTGAGGGATCGTGTCCCTGTAGATGATGGACGAGTCGGGGTTCCCCGTGATGCTGTAGTGTCCTTGTTAGTGTCTGTGCTGCCACTGGCTCTTGTGGGCTGTCCACAATGCGATCTGACTTACGGCTCCTCTGTGGCGAACAGGTAGTTGATCCTGATGGCGGTGACGCCCTGGGGCACGTTGACGAACATGCCGTAGTAGACATTCTCCTCGCTGCTTCCGACGGCGCAGCCCCTGATGGGCTGTCCCGAGTTGAAGCCAAAGTTGGTGTTGGGGGTGCTTCCTACGACGGCATTGGAGACGAGACCGGTGCTCATGATGATACCGGAGGTGAGACCTTGGGGTCCATCTGTGAAGGTGCCGATGGCGCCGGGGTTCGGGACGATGACGGGGTGCTGGCTGAAGGTGAAGCGGCTGTCCTTGACACCAGCAGACTCGAGACCGGCAGCGGGTTGTCCGGGCGTGACCACGATGGCCGTGGACAGGCCAAGGAGCATGGAAGAGGCAATGAGCCTCGCGGTTCCGGCGGCGACCATTTTGAAAGATGGAAAATTAAGTAACTGTAAAACGAGTGACTGGTAATGAGTGACTAGGCGATCGCGCAACGAGCAAGAGCTACTCCTCCCACCATGGTAGTGCCGACGGCAAAGCTATATAGCAATCCTGTCAGTCAGTGGGCATCAGAGCAATGGCCGAACAAGGTGGAGTCACAACACCACCACAGCCATGATTGCATCTTCCGGAGCTCACTAGATCCGTGGAGATGATTGACATGACTACTCAGACGCCACAAGTGACGGCTTCGGCGCCTGGCAGGGGCTCAGATGTGACCAGGGCATGGAGTCCAGACGAGTTGGCGAGAGTCTCAAGCTGTGTGTAGTCACGATGTGTGCACTGCCTGTATCCAGTATCGAGTGCCGCCAAGAGCAAAGCGCAGAGGCTATTGAAGTTGCCATGTGCAGCTAGTCTCAGCTCTTAGTCTCAAAAGGGAGAACGTCAGAGCTTGAAGAGCATAAGCTTAAGGTCCACAGCGAATCGCGTCTTGTTCTTGTCGTTACCCCTGTTGGCAGGCAAAGGGGGCGATCCCTTACTTAGACATCTGATCCCGGCCGGGGCATCTCGGAAATTTCCAGGGGTCACCGCCAGCTTTCTCAGTCACCTCATCAGGGGATGGCTCTTCCTCGGTACCGTAGTCATGATGTCCTTGTCCAGCGCCACGAGAGACCTAATCGTCCACTCCCCCTGACAGGAGGTGCGAGTGATGCCCAAGCGCCGGGCTGGTCTCTGGGGTGGATACTAACCACATATGGGGCGAGCAGAGCACTCAGCTCGCCACTTGCGATATGCTCATCTCGGCAATCCGACGGGCTGTTCCTATTGTGCCTCTGGTGCCTTTTTTTCCCACACCACGCGCGCGCGTCGTCCGAGCGATGACGGTCTGGAGCTCGATATACCGCTGGCCCGGGTGCAGTCAATAGTGCTCCGACGTTGACCTGTCAGAGATGCCCTGGTGGGAGGAAGATAGCCGGTTTCTGAAGCATCTGATTTGCCAAGTTGCTGCTGCCGCCGGCGTCCACCACATGTTGAAGATGGGGTTGTCGAACGCGCCTCGGAAGATCAGATCATGATGTGTTGGATATTGAAGTTATGTCTCACAAGAAAACGGCCCATGGCAGGCGGCAGTGACGAGGAACCTGTACAGCATGTGGCGGGACTGCCATGGCATGAGTTGCACACGAAAAGAAATGGCGTCCGACATCAGTGAGCCCATGTTTGATTCACAGCACAAAGCGAACGGGGCAGGGATCCATGGGGCTGAGTGTGTTTTTGAAGTCTCTCAACACGCGAGCAGGCGTTTCGCGGCCCAGCTATTCCGTGTGCAGGGATCGAACCCATCATGCCTGATCTGGTAGAGGGGGTCAGACGTCGCCGTACATGGGCGGCTTCATGCGTTGCTTCAGCTGTCAGCGGTGTGTCGTACGCCGCTCTCGCAGTGTTTGCTGATGCCGAGAGATGGATCGGGAGATCTGGGTTGCCAGGTAGGGTTTCCTCTACCCCAAGGTACCTGACCTCTAGAGGCAGGCAATGCAGGGTAGGTAGGTCAGGTCAAGGCGATCCCGGTGATAGGATCTTCGCATCCGAGGTGTGGCATGTGCTCGCTTGCAGTGCCAACGTAGCACCAAATCGCACGCAATCTTGGGAGGCGCTGTGAAGCTACTGACCGAAGCATTGGGAAGAGCAAGGCACCCATGAAGGCGTGTCTGTGTGAGGGATGGGTTGATGAGTGAATGTGGGTGGACAGGTGGATGGATGGACGGGACGGGATGGCCTGGCTGCCACATGAGCCTGGGAAGGGGCAAGGGTGCCCCAATTTCCACCCACGGGGTTGAGCGAGTTCACGACCGCCAGCCTCATCGGTTGGGCCCGCCGCCACAGGAGAGATTCAGAGGTTCTTAGGTCCAGGCCCAGGTCCAGACCCAGGCACTAACCGACAAAGAGCTCGCTCAGCACCAAAAAAAAAAGTCATGCGGGATCCAGGGGCATCTGCCCCGCTGCAGGTACTGGAGACACAGAATCAGGCAAGGGGAAGAGAGGACGGACACGAGATTGTCCAGTCTTTGCTGTCGACGAGAGTCAGTCCCATGCGGACTCGCACAATTGTTAGACATGAGGTCAGGCGCGGAATCTGTCAGGTGAAATAGGTATCACCGTGGTCTTTGCTGCTCGCTCACTGATGAGGCCGTGGAACACGACAGCAAGGGAACCGGCCTCATTCGCGCTTCGCAGCTCGTCAAGATAGATCCCTTGCCTTGCACGTCAGGCGGGCTAGTGGGAAAGTTTTGGCAGATCTCCGCTAGAAGTCGGACTATCATCGCGTGGAGTTAGGCTGACAAGCCATTGCGGACCCGTTCTGCTGGCGAGCTTCTCAGCAAACCCTCGTTGGCAGGCAGTTCAGGATCGTCCATGAACTCCAAGTACCTCGACAGGGTTCAACAAAACCCAACGACTGGGTGGCCCAGCTTGTCATTTGGGCATTCTCAAAATCCCATCTTGTGTGCCTCATGCAAGTTCGCGACCCCCCTGGTCTACCCTCATTGACCAATTGGCTGTGCTGATTGTTAGCTGCCGCGGCTGGTCCACGAAAAATTATTCACATCAAGCACTTCAGTCAAACTAAACGCTCAACCACATCCATTCAGAGACGGAAGCTTTGCTCCAAGTCAGAAAGCCTTGTCTCGTAGGTTATGGACAGTAGAGCATCTTGACACACAAACAAGAAGAGCGATTCTCCTTCGATGTCCTGCCAATGACTGTACTCACATGTACCACGGTCTCGAGTGCGACCCAAAGTATTATCCAGCATAATGTTGTGATGTTCCGACTTTTTCTTCTTGTGTAAAGCTCAGTCGTGAAGCTCCTCATGTCGCGAATCCCGTGCTGTCTATGCGAAGCTTCAACGACCCGGAGTATACTCCGCCTCAGACGTTGCAATCCCTGTGCATCCTCAGTCAGCATCTTCACGTGCCCTGCTGTGTAACGTGCTCACAGCACTTCTAGGCGCACAGCACACGTCCCCTCACTACCAAAGGTGCAGGCCCAATCAGAACAACGGCAGCTCGCTATGTGGAGGCTGTGACGCAGCGTTGACGGCCGCCCGGTTAGGGGATGTCATTACCCCGTGTATCCTCGGCTTTGAGCCGATGCTTTCCACGCCTCCAGCGATCGAAGCTCCAATTGTCGACGAGGTCCGAACTGCCATCCTCCTCCTCGGCAATTCAACCATCACCGCCAGCAGCAACCGATCGGAGGACTCTGTCCAAGCACAAACACAATTCGACTGCCGCCGAGCAAAGAGAAACAGTCCAAACACCGTTGCAGACAACAACCACAATGAACTCTCTCCGCTACGTCCGCCCAGTGGCCTCGAGGCTGCAGCCGTCGACGCTGCCGCGCATGGCCGCGCGCGGCTTCGCCAGCGCCAACTACGAGTACATCCAGGTGTCGCAGCCCAAGCCCGGCGTCGGACAAGGTGCGTAGGGGAGGGGGGGGGGCAAGAAAGGCGGCGAGTCTTCTTCACAAATCATGTTCCATCGCTGACGCAAAACTTCTCTGCCGGCAGTGACCCTCAACCGCCCCAAGGCGCTCAACGCGCTCTGCACGCCCCTCATCAACGAGCTCAACGCAGCGCTGCGGGCCTTCAACGAGTCGGACGACACGTCGGTCATTGTGCTGACGGGCTCGCAAAAGGCCTTTGCCGCGGGCGCCGATATCAAGGAGATGGCGCCGCTGACGTTCTCCGAGGCTTACACCAAGGCCTTTATCGAGTCGTGGTCGCTGCTGACGACCGAGGCCAAGAAGCCCATCATCGCGGCCGTGTCGGGCCACGCGCTGGGCGGCGGGTGCGAGCTCGCCATGATGTGCGACGTGCTCTACTGCACCGAGGGGGCCAACTTTGGCCAGCCCGAGGTCAAGCTCGGCACGATCCCCGGCGCCGGCGGCAGCCAGCGGCTGACGCGGGCCATTGGCAAGTCCAAGGCCATGGAGCTCATCCTCACGGGCAAGTCGTTCAGTGGCGTCGAGGCGGCGCAGTGGGGGCTCGCCGCGCGCGCGTTCCCGACGTACGAGGCCCTCATGGAGGAGACGCTCAAGACGGCCGAGACGGTGGCGGGGTACTCGCGCGTCGCCGTCCAGGCGTGCAAGGAGGTCGTCAACAAGAGCCAGGACCTCGGGCTGCGGGACGGCGTCGAGTTTGAGAGGCGCGTCTTCCACAGCCTGTTTGGCAGCAACGACCAGAAGATTGGCATGAAGGCGTTCGCCGAGAAGAAGAAGGCCGAGTGGACGCACTCGTAGCTGGGGCAGAGAGCAGCAAGAAAACATTGGTCGTCTGCTACTGCGATGAATCACGATAGAGCACAATAAATTTGCAGGCAGTCACCTAGTCCTCGGATGTCTGGACATATGGGCAGCCAGGACAATTTGATCGACACTTGAGCAGCGAGACAGACAGTGCGGGAGTGTAAGATAGTTAGTTGATGCGCATTGGTGCCTCGAGGCTGGAGGTGTGCATCTGGTTTCGCAGATTACCTAAGGTACCTCAAAGGTAGGCAGGTACTTACCCACCCTAGGTACTTAGGTCAGGTACCTGAGTACCTAGAGCCTCTCCACTCAACCCAGAGGCCAGTGCGGCGACCACTGGTTCACAGATCCAAGCTTAATCTCTGCAGACATGCGACCAGCTCAACTTGACATGCCATCAAGATGCTTCAAGATGAAATGCGAGTATCCAGCAAGAAACTGCCCATATGACGAACACGAGGAGATGCATGAGGATGATGCAGGCGCGCCCAAGCGAGGCCCTCCTTCCTGCGCCTAGCCTCTTGAGCCCCGCCACCAGCGCCGGCGCCGGCGCCTGACGCCAGCAAGAGCTCAAGCACAAGCGCAAGGAGCACCTGCCCGCGTTCCCTTCCACCGCCCACCGCCTGCCGCCTGCCGCCTGCATCCCACCATCTGCAGTCCGTCTCTTGATGAAAATGGT